TTGCGGACTCCCCAAATGCTTGCTTTAGCATTTCATAGGTTTCCGTAGCCGTTTTGGCGAGTCTTTGGCAAAATTTTATGCACACGCCATTCCGAAATCGCAGGAGGGTCGGTGTAATGCACTACCAAAACGCCCGTAACTAAGAAACAAATACTAATTCGATGGTGCCGGCTGGCACACTGATTCACTATGAATGTAGGCCGCATCCCCCTAAAGGCAGAAGCTCGTACTACATCCGGTTCGCCCGCTATTGACACAGTCTTGAAACTTTCCGATCGCACCTCGTACAATTATCGTAATTGTTATATTTCCACGTTATGCGTTCATACGTGTTGATTAATTCAGATACGTACATATCGGCGGCTAAGCGGCAATAAAGATTGTACTCAGTCGTTCGTTTTGTTGTTCACGAAGGAAATCAACTAATTCCATGGCTTTAGAAGCTGATACCATGCTCAGATAGTAAATAAATCCACTGCCTTTTATGAAGTACGAAGGATAATTGTCGTGATCGCAAGAATACGCCAGCGGCATCTGTCCTGAGCCAGATAAATCCAATCCACCCCGTCTAGCACTAGTTGAGATATTACGCTGGACAGACGCTGAACAGAATTCATATGTCATTGTCGTTGTGGTTTATGATGCCGTGTAGACTAAATGGCTGAAGCCCCTAAGATGTAGATAGTATGTTTCTCCGAGTATAAAAAATGGCGTTACAACCCAGGAGAACAAAATCGTCCTCTTCATCGTGAGAACCTGAAATCTCACGTGGGATACTAACGATAGGAATCAGTCGCTGGATCTTTTGAACAAGGTAATGAACCTTCAGGTTCTGTAAAAGATTACAAATGACTAGCTGAGCGGCTGGCAGCTTCCTAAGAATGACGGATAAATCCAGTCGACGAAGCCAATTACATTACTGTAAGAACAATAGAGAAGAAAGCCCATTCAGACTCTTACTTCGCTCTTACAAGCAACAGTCACAGTTTTCTAATCTCCTTTTTCATTAATTAATTATAGACGTAAAATAAAGACACATGTGTGTTGTCTACTTTTTCAGTAATTCCATTTTAATTACCGTAACTTTAAAATCTACTCTTCTTATTTTAAATCTGAAATTCCACTTTACTTAAGCTAATTTATTACAGTCACTGATAACAAATTACTTCTCCAACGACATGGCACTTGCTTGTAATGAACTCCCTTCATGTACCGCTCATATTACACAAGAAATATAAGAAGTTATGGGTTTCAGTAATCGAAACTGGTGAAGCTAACTGCGCGTCGTATAGTCGAGAGATATGTGATCATAAAATTGACACGTACTACAGACATAAAAACGAGATCTGTATTTAATCGAGTGTAGTGCACGGATCACAAATGTTTTCTTGTGGCGTGTAACTTTTCATGACGTTTAAACATTTATCATTTTATGTTTGCTTGCATTCTGTTTTAAGCCATACTCTGTTTCAGGCGTGTTTATAACTAAATGTTGAATAAATTCTTATTTTCAGTCTGTCTGTCTGTCCTTCCACAGAAAAAGTATCGACAGATTTTCATGAAATGTTGTATCAAGATGTTTTACTAAAATTTTCTGGAATCTTCCGATGTTGGGTCCAGATTCGACACCAATAACGGGAACTTTACATGAAGACCTATTTGCGTTTCTGTGCACTAGTCACTGGCGAAATCGGCAAAATTGTTACACTACGCACAAACGTTTTCAGACTTCTTTGAAATGCATTAAATTTGAGAAACTAAAAATGGATTGAAAAATCAATCAATTATTTGAACCAGGTTTTACCTGAATACAAGTCTTATGTTTGATCACTGAGATACATATCATTTATAACTAATTTCATGCAACATAATTGTTTTAAAAGCTGGTAGTCGCTTAGCTGATCAAGACATTCTCTGCCTTTTATGGTACCCGGAGTTTAATTAGAATAGCATGTCACCAGACCCTATCCCAAGCTAGTAATTTCATTATTTCAGTTCACTTTACATGCAGAATTAACAAAGTGAGAAATGCATACAAATATTTGGTTGGGAACACTTCTTAATAAACGTCCACTTGAAATATCGTGAACGTGATGAAAAAACAACATCGAGATGGATCTTACATAGATGAGGACGGGTTGTGAGGTTGGCGGGGGTTGATGAGGGGGGAACTATAGCTAAGTATCGTATAAAATGATGGGTTTTGATGTTAGTGGTGTTGAATCTTTGAGCCCAGTGTTCTTTTATATTAATTTAATTGTCACCAAACATATTTCTGCTCTTATATATTGAGGTCTTTACTAGACTGTTTGATATTTTAAAGCTTTGAATATTATCTAAATAATATTTAAAAATGTAATTTCTGATGTTTAGGGAAACATTCACTGCGTATTATAAGAACTATATATAAAACTTAATAATATTCATAAGTAGGTAGTTTATATTGTCACCTCTGGGCTTTAAAAAGTCAAGTTATATTGTCCCCGATACAAATATTCTTTGTTGTTCCATTGAGAGTTTGATATGTGACATATGAATGCACAAATGTTTGTATTATTCATTAAAATGCATCATTGACAATAACGTGTTCAACTTGGAGCAAAACGCAACACGTGACTGCGAACGAAGATATTTCATAACACTTGGTATACTTCTATCTACAGGCGGGATACTTAGCAAGGAAATTATGCTAAAGATCTTACATTATCTGTTGTGCGTCTTATAATTTCTCTTGGGGGAGGGTTTAATATCGTAATTTAGTAAAATTACGAGCGTTTCGTTTGTGTATACATTTACATATACATATTCTCGCTTTCCAAATGTTCAGTTCCCACTTCAAAGTGTTTTATATTAAAGAATGGAAACAAATTTTGATGTTCTGTTCTTCGCTATTTTTAATGAACTCCTGCGTAACAGTAAGAGGAACTGACGTGGACATTCGCTTAGAAAAAATATGTCACATTTAAAATGCGCTTAATTTTGTATTAATGGAAATCGTTCCCATTCCCCAAACAATATTATAAAATGAAACTTTTTATAGAAAACCCTTTTTAATCTGTTATTTATATTCATTGAACTTGAACAAATTAATGCATTAATTAAACAGCGACTGTTGATCAATTTTTACATTTTAATTTACTCTGAATCTGTTTTAAATGTTGCTTATTTATTTCAGAATTGACATACGCAATTCTAACTGGTAAGCGAAACAAAGCATCGCGTTACGAGGTTCAGCTGTTTTAGAAATATTAATTCAGTGGACGATTCATGCAAGTGAAACTTTTCAAATGTAAATGCTTTTTTTAAACAGGCAACTGAAATATTTTAAGAAGTTTTTCGAATAAAACACGCAACATCAAAATATCATGAATTCACTTCATTATAACTTCACATAATAAATAAAAGAACATCCAAACGAAACTTCAAGATAAATACGCGAGCATATTATTACTGCAAAAATCAAAAGAAATTTTATAAGAATTTAACCACCAAAATAATTAATAAAGATAAACCAAAACAAAGACAATGGATAAAAAATAGGTCTATGGATTAAATTTAGCACTTAGAAGTCCAGAAATTAAGAATAAAACGTGAGGGCTTAATACTAATCCATCATTAGCAAATTCAAAGCTTTTATGATGTACTTACAACGTTTCCTTGTCTCAAAATGTTTACATTAAAAGTCGGAAACCGGAACAGTTTTCCAAGGACACTTTTTAAAACGAAAATTAAAAAGTCTTCTGTCTTACTTTCGTGGTTCAGTGGAACTTAACGCACTGGAACACAGCAGAAGCTATCAGATAAAACGTATCGTTAGTTATCTCCAGCCAGCCAGTGATATTATAATCATTATGCCTGCCGCTAGCGTAAGCCTCGACTAACTGGCTAACAACGCTCAAGACTTCTTGCTAAAATCATTTTGGTAATCATCGTATATCTTTTGTCAAAGAGTTAAGTAAATATTCGATCCCGTTTAGATACGCGAAGGTTTCATTACAGTTTCAAAGACACAAATAGCAGGACGTTTACGCTCTGAATATTACGAACTCAGTTTCTCTCAGGAGATATTAATTACCGTGTAGCGGTTGGTTTCAGGTTGCATTATCGAGAGAACAGAAAGAGATAATACATTGAATAAAATTCAGAATAACGACGACAACTTGGTCGTGACTGTTTTGAAAACCAAAAGGAACTAATTAAGTGTTCTTTCCCGTTGCACGGTATAACAAATTTTGCGCGACTTCACACAGCAGCAACAGATCATGACTGCCTCAGTTATTCTTCCGTAAAAACGTGGCTGTTTACGAAGAATGATGCCTCAACATCCGAGGGTCGCACCCCATTAATACTAGACTGAGATTTCGGGTTGTGGTCTTCTGGGTTGTGACCAACGTTTCGTAGGAACGTGTCGATACCATCCTCAGTGTATAATGTCACAATCGACGTCCAAAATGATGCGGAAATTTCGCTTCACACTTTAGGCTCCGTTCGTTAGTGGGACCACAGGGCAATTGCGCCTTTGACCCACGTTCCAGAAGGAGCGTCTTTGAAAAGCCGGGCAGCATCTAGGACGTTGCACGGGGCAGCATCCGACGAACGTCATCTTCATACTTGTCGCCCTGAGGACCTGATACCTCACTGTACTGTTCTGTCTTCGCATTTATTCGGGAGATATCCGTTTCGAACCTCGTCAGGACAACAGGATATCCTCATTAGAGATGTTAATGGTTTTCCTCAGAGTCTCCAATCAATTTATTTCCATTATCGTTGTGTTACAGGAGGCAGACAGGATCAACCATTCTAGCAACTGCCCAGCAGCCACGCCCCCTAGCTCCCCTCTGGACTCTCCGCCGCCCCCAGCTCCTGCCCCCGCTGCTCCCATACCAGCCCATTATATTTCTTCCCTGCGAGCATCTTCACGTCGAGGCGGCGTCAGTCCAGAGAAGGAAAGGGACCCATTGTCACGGTTACTACGTTTTCTACGGGCCTTCTACCGTGAACTGGCTGGGAGGGACCCAGCTAACCCCCCGCCGTGGGCACCTCCATTACCGCCAGGGACGCTATGCCCTGCACACTTTCAGCCATCGCTACAACTAGCGCCAATAGGAAGTGGTGGTCGACCAGAGAATGAACCGCGCGACAGCATTCGATTGGAACAGATACTCTCGGCCATCAGGGTAATTAGCCATGAACGTAAATATTAAATCACCCCTGTCTGATTCACACAAAAAATCGTGATGTCATACATCAACAATTTTTTTTTTCAATCAACAGGAATTTGTTAATTTTGATTGTTTCATAAAATTTTACAGCGATACGTTCTACAATAATTTTAAAATAAATTCATATTCATCATTTCCAAGTTCATTTTGCAGCGCAGCATAATTGCAAGTCAAAAGCGTTTCAAAAATGTATCAATTCGCATTATTTCATCACAAATACCTATTCCATTCGTTACTTATGGGATGGCATAAACACTTTTCGCAAATTTTGCAAAACATAACCTATAACGACGTAAGTACACAAATGAATTTATTTTACAAGGTCACTGCTATTTTTTTAATCATTCTCCCTGGAATTTGAACGTCCAAGAAGATGGTGTAACAGATGCTAATACGTTTTTAGTGTAAGGAACTAATTACGTACCACATTTTAGTCATTTCCTTCGATTCATCCTCTGCTTGTAATACGCGTAAGAAAGATATCAGTTTTACAGAGGTTATGTTAAGACATTGCTAAGGATACGCTGAGGTTTATGGATACCGCTGTCATTTTCAACATGATCATCCCTCACTACGTTTGTCAGCATAGAATTTGCAGCCAACTTTTTGTCTTATAGTTTACAGTTCTCACTCAATTCCTTCCTCCTTGTGTGACCTTTCTGTATTTCAGAGATCGCTGAGTATGATACAAAGTGTCAATTGTGGTCTTCTGGGTTGTTTTTGCCATGTGGACTTGTACGTGTACCAACATTTTGGAAGATCACGCTGCCTCCATCCTCTGGGCTGATAGGTAGTATGTTTCACCTACAAATTGATACCCACTTACAAATCCACATAGTTTCACAACCAAAATAACACCTTCACCTTGAGAACCTTGAATTTCGTATGATAGGAAATTTGTCAGTTTTCACGATGTCTTTTGTGTTATTACAGACGAACGAAGGCTCGATGCATGATGCCCCACGTCGCGTGGTTGTGGAGGGTGGTCCTGGCAGTGGTAAGACAACTCTGGCTTTGAGGCTACTCCACTCGTGGGCCACACAAGATGACTGGCTAGGTCCATCAATAGAGCTCGCTCTATTTGTCCCACTCCGGGAGCTACGTGGCAACAGTTTGGCTCATTACCTGAGCAAGGAGCTCCTCCCGAAGACTGCACTCAGTGGTTGCGCAAGTCCCTGGGGTGGAGGGGGTGGTGGAAGCTATGGTGGGAGTGGAAATGGTTTCGCTCAAGTGTGGAAGTGCCTCGGCCTCCTAGAAGACAGGTTGTTGTTCGTGTTGGATGGTTACGATGAGGCTGTGGCACTCGGTGGACAGGAGGGCAAGGGTCAAGGTGGTACTGGAGCTGGAAATGGGAGAGAAGCATTGGGGGATGCCGTTGAACTACTTGAAGGCCGCATGTTCCCCGAATGTCGTATTCTAATCACGTGTTCTCCCGGTTGGAGTTCGGAATTGTTCCCACTCGTTCAGCGTAGAGTTCTGCTTCACGGGTTGGACTGGGCCCACGTAGAGCGACTTGTGACCGCCTACTTTAATGGAAACAAAAAGCCTGAGAGTGCTAGTCATTTTCTGGAGGTTGTATTCGCAAGTCAGCAAGTTCTCCGTCCTTTGGCATGTTGGCCTCTTGGCTGGCTTCTACTCTGCGTCCTTTTTGAAGAGGAAGGTGGCCGATTACCAACCGATACGTTGGATGTTCACCAGGCTCTATTTAAGTGCCTTATCCGCCGGAGTCTTGTTAGGAAGGGTGAAATTTTAATGCCTAGTGAAATATCTTCCGACTTACCTGGACACTGTAAGAAGTTGCTAGCTGAATTTGGGAGGCTTGCCCTAACTTCTATAAAGGAGGAGAGGTTCTTGTACACAGACTCAGAAATTCGAGCTCATTGTAGGGGCGGTGGGCTCGAAGTCACAGAACTTGGCTTTCTGAGTCGTGGTCTCAACTTTGGACGCAGTCACAATCAGAAAAAGCGAGCCGACTACTACACGCCAGTGATTCGAACATTTGCAGAATTTCTGGCAGCATATTATATTTCTTCTATAGTACATTACTCAAATATTCTAAGGAGAGAACTGGAAGATCTTCCTGGAATGACTGGAGGAGGGATTGGCTCTGTTCTGGACAACAATACGGTGCTGATACTGAGGTTCCTTATGGGACTTTTGGGACGTAAGGGTCACCTCGTGTTCAATCAGTTATGTCCGCTGGATTTCCCCACACGGACGTTGTTCATGCTTCTTCAAGCATCAGGACCCTCTGAAGCTAACGTAGCCGCAGTGTGTAGACTATTAGGGGCTTCAAGTAGCAGTTGGGTAGGCATGGGTAATGGAGCTTCTGGGGCTAGTTCCAAAGTTCCTGTTCCCCTCGTTCATACAGCGCCACTGGAACTTGAAGGTTGGTCTCACGTTCTCCAAAGTGAAGCATGTACTCTGGAGGCACTGGAACTTGTTTTTCAGTTTGATAAAGGTGCGGATTATGAAGAGCATTTGGATTCCTTCTTCACGTCGCTATCTTCTAATGATAGTGTTCGGTTAGTTCGCATTTCGTCTTTGCTGGGACACGAATTCACCGCCGCCGAAGTGGATCGCTTGGCAGGTTACGTGAAGACTACACTGTGCAAATCTAGGCTTCACACATTTGAGCTCGTCATAACGTGCCTGGAAGATAGTGCACATGACAGGTATTTGTTTGAATCTCATTTATGCGTGTTTTGAGTAATTATAATGTGTATGAAGCGTGTTCATAATCTGTTGCTGTTATTTCTAACGGAAAAGTGTATTCTTCGTTTTTCGTAGATTAGTCACCTAAGCCTTTTCAGCCTCGGAAAATATTCTGAGGCAGTAAATCTTCTTAACACATAGTACGTCTCAATTAATAAGGAATAATCTAATTAGAGGGTCTGTTCCATCACAATATAATGTAAGGCAACACAGAGAAATACAATCAGACTTTCATATAACATGTAAAACAGCATAACATAACCTTAAAATCGAAATGTTTATATTTCAGAAATTTTACGCTTTGAATTTTAAATTATAAATAACTTAAATTATGATAGCCCCTGACTTAATCAGAGACCACCAATGTCAATTTAGGAGGAATATTGCTGTGTAAATGTGTTTCCATGAAAACATTAATACTAGACTGAGATTTCGGGTTGTGGTCTTCTGGGTTGTGACGCCGTAAGATCTTGTTGGTGTTCACCAACGTTTCGTAGGAACGTGTCGATACCATCCTCAGTGTATAATGTCACAATCGACGTCCAAAATGACGCGGAAATCTCGCTTCACTCTTTAGGTTCCATTCGTTAGTGGGACCACAGGGCAATTGGGCGTTTGACCGACGTTCCAGAAGGAGCGTCTCTGAAACGCCGGGCAGCATCTAGGACGTTGCACGGGGCAGCATCCGACGAACGTCATCTTCATACTTGTCGCCCTGAGGACCTGATACCTCACTGTACTGTTCTGTCTTCGCATTTATTCGGGAGATATCCGTTTCGAACCTCGTCAGGACAACAGGATATCCTCATTAGAGATGTTAATGGTTTTCCTCAGAGTCTCCAATCAATTTATTTCCATTATCGTTGTGTTACAGGAGGCAGACAGGATCAACCATTCTAGCAACTGCCCAGCAGCCACGCCCCCTAGCTCCCCTCTGGACTCTCCGCCGCCCCCAGCTCCTGCCCCCGCTGCTCCCATACCAGCCCATTATATTTCTTCCCTGCGAGCATCTTCACGTCGAGGCGGCGTCAGTCCAGAGAAGGAAAGGGACCCATTGTCACGGTTACTACGTTTTCTACGGGCCTTCTACCGTGAACTGGCTGGGAGGGACCCAGCTAACCCCCCGCCGTGGGCACCTCCATTACCGCCAGGGACGCTATGCCCTGCACACTTTCAGCCATCGCTACAACTAGCGCCAATAGGAAGTGGTGGTCGACCAGAGAATGAACCGCGCGACAGCATTCGATTGGAACAGATACTCTCGGCCATCAGGGTAATTAGCCATGAACGTAAATATTAAATCACCCCTGTCTGATTCACACAAAAAATCGTGATGTCATACATCAACAATTTTTTTTTCAATCAACAGGAATTTGTTAATTTTGATTGTTTCATAAAATTTTACAGCGATACGTTCTACAATATTTTTAAAATAAATTCATATTAATCATTTCCAAGTTCATTTTGCAGCGCAGCATAATTGCAAGTCAAAAGCGTTTCAAAAATGTATCAATTCGCATTATTTCATCACAAATACCTATTCCATTCGTTACTTATGGGATGGCATAAACACTTTTCGCAAATTTTGCAAAACATAACCTATAACGACGTAAGTACACAAATGAATTTATTTTACAAGGTCACTGCTATTTTTTTAATCATTCTCCCTGGAATTTGAACGTCCAAGAAGATGGTGTAACAGATGCTAATACGTTTTTAGTGCAAGGAAGTAATTACGTACCACATTTTAGTCATTTCCTTCGATTCATCCTCTGCTTGTAATACGCGTAAGAAAGATATCAGTTTTACAGAGGTTATGTTAAGACATTGCTAAGGATACGCTGAGGTTTATGGATACCGCTGTCATTTTCAACATGATCATCCCTCACTACGTTTGTCAGCATAGAATTTGCAGCCAACTTTTTGTCTTATAGTTTACAGTTCTCACTCAATTCCTTCCTCCTTGTGTGACCTTTCTGTATTTCAGAGATCGCTGAGTATGATACAAAGTGTCAATTGTGGTCTTCTGGGTTGTTTTTGCCATGTGGACTTGTACGTGTACCAACATTTTGGAAGATCACGCTGCCTCCATCCTCTGGGCTGATAGGTAGTATGTTTCACCTACAAATTGATACCCACTTACAAATCCACATAGTTTCACAACCAAAATAACACCTTCACCTTGAGAACCTTGAATTTCGTATGATAGGAAATTTGTCAGTTTTCACGATGTCTTTTGTGTTATTACAGACGAACGAAGGCTCGATGCATGATGCCCCACGTCGCGTGGTTGTGGAGGGTGGTCCTGGCAGTGGTAAGACAACTCTGGCTTTGAGGCTACTCCACTCGTGGGCCACACAAGATGACTGGCTAGGTCCATCAATAGAGCTCGCTCTATTTGTCCCACTCCGGGAGCTACGTGGCAACAGTTTGGCTCATTACCTGAGCAAGGAGCTCCTCCCGAAGACTGCACTCAGTGGTTGCGCAAGTCCCTGGGGTGGAGGGGGTGGTGGAAGCTATGGTGGGAGTGGAAATGGTTTCGCTCAAGTGTGGAAGTGCCTCGGCCTCCTAGAAGACAGGTTGTTGTTCGTGTTGGATGGTTACGATGAGGCTGTGGCACTCGGTGGACAGGAGGGCAAGGGTCAAGGTGGTACTGGAGCTGGAAATGGGAGAGAAGCATTGGGGGATGCCGTTGAACTACTTGAAGGCCGCATGTTCCCCGAATGTCGTATTCTAATCACGTGTTCTCCCGGTTGGAGTTCGGAATTGTTCCCACTCGTTCAGCGTAGAGTTCTGCTTCACGGGTTGGACTGGGCCCACGTAGAGCGACTTGTGACCGCCTACTTTAATGGAAACAAAAAGCCTGAGAGTGCTAGTCATTTTCTGGAGGTTGTATTCGCAAGTCAGCAAGTTCTCCGTCCTTTGGCATGTTGGCCTCTTGGCTGGCTTCTACTCTGCGTCCTTTTTGAAGAGGAAGGTGGCCGATTACCAACCGATACGTTGGATGTTCACCAGGCTCTATTTAAGTGCCTTATCCGCCGGAGTCTTGTTAGGAAGGGTGAAATTTTAATGCCTAGTGAAATATCTTCCGACTTACCTGGACACTGTAAGAAGTTGCTAGCTGAATTTGGGAGGCTTGCCCTAACTTCTATAAAGGAGGAGAGGTTCTTGTACACAGACTCAGAAATTCGAGCTCATTGTAGGGGCGGTGGGCTCGAAGTCACAGAACTTGGCTTTCTGAGTCGTGGTCTCAACTTTGGACGCAGTCACAATCAGAAAAAGCGAGCCGACTACTACACGCCAGTGATTCGAACATTTGCAGAATTTCTGGCAGCATATTATATTTCTTCTATAGTACATTACTCAAATATTCTAAGGAGAGAACTGGAAGATCTTCCTGGAATGACTGGAGGAGGGATTGGCTCTGTTCTGGACAACAATACGGTGCTGATACTGAGGTTCCTTATGGGACTTTTGGGACGTAAGGGTCACCTCGTGTTCAATCAGTTATGTCCGCTGGATTTCCCCACACGGACGTTGTTCATGCTTCTTCAAGCATCAGGACCCTCTGAAGCTAACGTAGCCGCAGTGTGTAGACTATTAGGGGCTTCAAGTAGCAGTTGGGTAGGCATGGGTAATGGAGCTTCTGGGTCTAGTTCCAAAGTTCCTGTTCCCCTCGTTCATACAGCGCCACTGGAACTTGAAGGTTGGTCTCACGTTCTCCAAAGTGAAGCATGTACTCTGGAGGCACTGGAACTTGTTTTTCAGTTTGATAAAGGTGCGGATTATGAAGAGCATTTGGATTCCTTCTTCACGTCGCTATCTTCTAATGATAGTGTTCGGTTAGTTCGCATTTCGTCTTTGCTGGGACACGAATTCACCGCCGCCGAAGTGGATCGCTTGGCAGGTTACGTGAAGACTACACTGTGCAAATCTAGGCTTCACACATTTGAGCTCGTCATAACGTGCCTGGAAGATAGTGCACATGACAGGTATTTGTTTGAATCTCATTTATGCGTGTTTTGAGTAATTATAATGTGTATGAAGCGTGTTCATAATCTGTTGCTGTTATTTCTAACGGAAAAGTGTATTCTTCGTTTTTCGTAGATTAGTCACCTAAGCCTTTTCAGCCTCGGAAAATATTCTGAGGCAGTAAATCTTCTTAACACATAGTACGTCTCAATTAATAAGGAATAATCTAATTAGAGGGTCTGTTCCATCACAATATAATGTAAGGCAACACAGAGAAATACAATCAGACTTTCATATAACATGTAAAACAGCATAACATAACCTTAAAATCGAAATGTTTATATTTCAGAAATTTTACGCTTTGAATTTTAAATTATAAATAACTTAAATTATGATAGCCCCTGACTTAATCAGAGACCACCAATGTCAATTTAGGAGGAATATTGCTGTGTAAATGTGTTTCCATGAAAACATTTATTTATCTTAGAATGTTCATCGTACAATTTGATGTGTTGTTTATACCCTTTAAGGTCACCTACCATTTATAACATTTTGATCATGTAAACTTGTTAGGTGTAGAAACAGACAGCATTAGTTTTGCTGGAATTGTGTTTCGACAGAGTGTTAAAGGAAAAAGTTTAAAGTTACCCCTTTGAAGTAGAAAGGAAATTAGAGAATGTATATGTGGTTCAGAGACATGACCTTCTAGCACCATCTGGTTACTAGCATTTTGGAGGAATAAATCACCTTCATCTTCAAGGTAGATTTTAGAGAAGTTGTATATCCAGACTCTTCAGTCATGTTGTTAATTTTAAATCAAAGCTATATTCCTGATGATACCAACAAAATCAAAATTAATGTGATTTTATTGTTCCCAGATTAAAACTCTTGTTTGAATACCATCTCTTGAATATGCTGTTACAGAGATCCAAAGTTCTGGTCAATTTAGATGGGCATTCTAACAAAATTACTTCAAATCACTTTTATGATGAGATAAAATGAGAATTTTAGAACTCTGTTAACATTTTGCATGGCGTAATGTACTTGCTGCGTCAGAATTATGATAGTTCATTCATGCATTTCAGGTTCCAGTCATTAGTCGACGCACTGTGCGAAGGACTGGAGCAGAACGCAAGCCCAATTCTGAACAAACTAGTGTTGGACCTGAACCTTGGGACATGCCAGGTGGTGCAACTGTGCGTAGCTCTCGAGCACACAGACCAGGTGACAGTTCTTCACCTGCCACATCTGGGCTGTGGCAGAGATGGCCTTCGAGCCATCGCCCAGCTTATCAGGGCCCGACCTCTCGTTGCACTGAACCTGTCTGGTAGCTGGGGCATGCGGCGTGAAGATCCGCCATCCTCCAGTGGCGTCAGTGTTGGTTCGTAAAAGTCTTAATAGATTTTGTAATCTGTGTCACACCCTCCTCCTTAGCAAGCTTTTACTGTCTGGCATCATTCACCTTTTATTCTGTCAACATGAACTGATGATCTGGTATCAGACATAAGGATGTTCCTTGATAATGTCCATTCTCTGGATCTGTACTTTATATAAGAATATTGGGTACTTGTGAGCTATCGGGACACATCACTTTAAAAATAGGTTAGGTTAACTTAGCTTAGGTTAGCTTAGGTTAGGTTAGCTTAGGTTAGGTTATGTTAGGTTAGTTTAGGTTAGGTTAATATACTTGAAAGTTATTATAACCTAACCTATTTTTAAAGCGATGTGTCCCGATAACCCACAAGTACCCAATATTGTTACAAAATATTTTAAATATTTGCAAATCCAGTGGGAGTATTCCAGACACGAGGCACAGCAAGACAAGAAGTCAATGAGCCTTATCTCTACATACACAACTGCAGGCAAATATGTTCATGTTCAGTGAATATTTTGAAGTAATGATATGAAAGTACCCCATTTCTCCAGGTTCCGGTAGTGGTAGTAGTGGAGGAGTTGGTAGCGGTGTGAGCACGCTACAACACGTGGCAAAGCAGCCGTCACTCACCAGCAATATCTCACCAAAGACGACGACAAGCTCCTCCTATTACTTCTCGTCCCTTCCACGTGGCATGATGGGAGGATACAACAGCCTCGGCAGACCTGCCACTCTGCCCCGCCAACCCCTGCAGCAGCTTCTGCTTGACGGCTATAGCAACTCCAGCAGTGGAGACAGCAAGAGGAATTCTGACTCGGTTCTCTTCCAGAGACTCTTCCATCCTCTTCCAGCATGTGACCCTGCCGTGCACGCAGGGTCGGGCTTTCACGACGTGTTTGACGCTGCTCGCGATACCGCCTGTAAGTTGCGGAGCCTGAATGTTAGCAAGTGTCTGCTGGGTGCAGAAGATGCCCTGTGTCTAGGTTAGTAGCTTTGATTTGTTTTGTTGAGATTTGTTATCTATAAATCCTCGATGCTTAATCTTTCTCATACGCAGCTGTCGGCAGTGTTCCACACACCCCTTGAGAGGTAAGTCTGTGGCCACAGTCACATTAATAATCCTGTCAAAACTCAGAAACCTCCCTAAAATAATAAGACAGATCCTTCATGTTGAAATCGCTTTATACTCTTGTTGCACGTAAGGATGGTTTCTTTCCACGTTTGCGCTTATAGTTCCTATTCAGAAATGGCAAAAACGTTCAAGACTTTGCATTATGGCAAAGCTACTGTATTTGAATGTTCAAATTTTCTTGAGGAACAGCAATTTTGAAGTTAGATGTGGTACAGGTGAAACTGTACGGCGCTCGCTGTGTCTGGATGCGCTACGGCTGGAAGGAGGAACCCGCTTAGGAGAGGTTCTGCCCGTGATTCTGGGACTAGCAGACAATACATCTATCCAGCTGCTGGATCTGGGGTCACAGCGACTCATACTAGAGGATGGACCCACTCAACTCGTGTGTCAGTCTCTTGCCAAAAACTCCAGCCTCAGACTCCTTAGCTTGGAAGGATGGACGTTTCGAATCGAGGTAATCCCATTCCCTGTTTAAACCTTTAAAGTTCAGTGATAACTACGTGTACCGGTAATTTTACATTTTTCCCACAGAGTGTATGGGGTTTGTATGATTCTTCCCAAAAGGAATAGAATAATAGTAGTGTTGATGATAATAGCTGTTATAATCCGTAGAGTCTGCCCTTGAAAACAAGCTTTGGGTTGGTATCACTGCGCTGCAAACAGCTGTGTCACTGTAGCGTACACAAACAGTGGGACACGCTCTTCTGTTCCACAGAAAAGACAGATTGAAATTTTATGTGCTAGAAGTGATCCGTCATTTCGTACTGTCTGGATATTATTCTCACTTTGTCTGTGTTTATTCATAAATAACAATTCCCTTGTGAAATAATAACAAATATGTAAGTCTTCAGGGTAAGTGGTTAAGGATGAAATAGTGCTTTTATTTAAATTGTACTTACTGCAGTTTTTGGTTATGGAAGTCTTTTAATGCCACAGATTTTTTCATATGTAATTATTTTTAAACTAATGAGCTGCGACCTGGCTCGCAAGCTTCAGCTATATGAACATGTACTGTTGTCCAATGACGTCATGGCTTGATGTTCTTATATATTCAGACATTTATTTTTTATTTATTGGCACTGTAATGAAGCTCAAAATATAGGACAAGAATAAAATGACGGAGGCGGTATGACCTCCGAAACGTCGGTAAACATTGACCAGACTACACAGCGCAACAACCCAGAAGATAGAAATCTTCAATAAAATTTTACTGAAGCTTGAAAGCCTCTTTGTATAAATTCTGACAACGCTGTTACTGGTGTTAACAGGAAGAAGGCTCTCTCTCGGTGTTCCTTGGATTCCTTCAGTCGACATCGATTCGGGACCTTGTTCTTGCTAATTGCCGGCTTCATCTCGCCATCCACGGCGGTCGTCTCTCGCGTCTAGGACGTCTCGATGATTCGGTGGCTGAGATGCTCGGCTCTCTGCCCGATTTTGTTTGTACTGCCGTCGTCTTCCTACGCCTCGGTGGTTTCCAAGTGACGGTCAATGATCGGATGGCTCTTCGTGGACCTCACCTTTTACCGTTCCTTCGCGGTTTCACCCACCTGAGTGATCTGGACCTAAGTCTAGACAAGAACTCTGTCAGTAGCACTACAAGCAGTCCATTGTTTGTGGACGATAAGGCACTGACCACTTTTTTTCAGACTCTCTCTGCCAGTTTCAGAACTCTACAGAGCCTCAAGATGAGTCACTGGAGAATTTGTCTTGATGATAGCGACAGAACACTGCGCGCTGTTGGGAGAGCTCTCAAGACATGTTCTCTCAGTTATCTCAAAGTGAATGGCCTTGGCGTATCTGACAGTGCTCACAAGGGATCACTTGAGCATTTATTTTTACAGACAGTGGTAGCAAATCTAAGCTATCTTAGTTGGTTGAGTATGGTAGGTGTCTCCTTAACCCCAGGTCAGTCCACGGCAGTGGGGAAGTGCATCAGAGATCGATTCCCAGGCACAGCTTTAGAGGTGAGCGCTAAAGATGTAGGCGCAGATGCTGTGAAGGCTTTAGTTGCAGCTGTGGAGGATGGTGGTAAGATTGAGGTTATGTATGTTGGTGGACCTAGCTGTAATCTGCGTATCCAAAGGATTCTTAAAAACCAGAAATTAAAAGGAAAGTTTAGAAGATTCACTTCCCTAAAAGAATGAATTTTTGGTTGAATGACTCATGGAACTTAGCCTGTATGTCAGTGGTCCCCAACGCGGTGCCCTCGGGCGCCAAGGCTTTTTTTGGGTGCCCACGTTGTTACGGAAAGAGATTATACTGAATAAAGAAGGCCGTTCAACCATGAACATTTTAAAATCACAGATCTTGACTTACTAATGCCCATTTTGACGGTTGTTTGCGAGCAGCAACATCATCCTACACTGCCAAATTTGAAAAACTGGCCGATGAAATGCAGTACCAAACATCACACGAACTTCCCACTTTAGTAATAATAATTTTACTTATAAAAGTACGTATTTTTGATTGCATGGTTTCTCGTATTGTTAAACGTCGTGTTATTTTGTGTATTATTTGGTGTCCTTATCTTATTTGTCCAGAGAAAAGAAAATTTGGCTTTGTTAATTGGTTGGTGCCCGCTACGACCTCATAAACTCTCAAATGTGTGGGGAACGCTGGGTTAGACCTAGACAGTATTTCTAGCCCAGTTTTTAAATAATTTTCAATTTAATTTCTATATTTTAATTTATTACTCTTAGCTGCTGTAAAATAACTAAATCCTCAAAAAACACGTCTTTGAGTGTTATTTCACGGTACATGAATGAACCAGACACGTTTCATTGTTATTTAAGGAATTGGTCAGTTATTCGTTTCCATTAATTAGTGTGAGGGCACCTTATGAAATTTAAGAAAAGAATACCGTGTTCCAAGATCCAAGGAAGTCCAGTGGAAGACCAGTTGCATATACTAATTACGTATTTACGGGGTTTTTTTAGATGGTGGTAGTATCATTGGAAATGAACTAATGTACGTGCTTCATAGAACGAATTTGTCGCTGTGTAAATTAGTGTGCTCTGTTCATTACTGTAAAAAAGAGCTTTGAAATCCATTCAGTACAGTTTCATTTTGTGTAAATACAAAAAGAAGTGACTTTGCGCAAAGTTTTAACGAACCTGGAGACATTTTAATATGAAACAGCTGTCCACATTCTTTACCTAATTATGAAGATTACAAGCAGATGTAAATAAAGTACTCTAAAAAAATGATTCTGAGTGAAAATTAGAAGGTTATCTTTAAAATATAAAACTATAATTGTTATGAAATGTAAATAATTTTATAAAAATGGTAATTATAATGAAATATGTCTGGGTTGATTTTTAAATAAGAAGTGGTGCTATTGTAGTGCTAAAAGTAGTGGAGCCAAGCTCCACATTTATTTCAAATTAATTAATGTCCCGTTATTCCGACAGAATGTAGGAAAATTATTCAGAATACGTCTATGAAGTGAGAACAGGTTTGAGCCTGATTTATGCAGGACAGAAGAAGTAGCAGATAGAATGTAAGTAGCTTTAGTAAATAATAATGGTCATGAAATATGGAGTATTTTATTTTTATGAAGTCATTTTAGACAATACCAAATATAAATACATTGCGTATGAATATATGAGAATTTGGCAGATGTCGATGGTCTTCTGGGTCGTAATATCATCTGAACTTGTAGGTAAATACCATTTTTGGGGGGGGAACATACTACCTCTATCTTCAGCCCTACAAGTCCACATGGCATTACAACCCGGAAGAGCAATGACAAAATGGCATATGAATGTGAAAAACAGCTGCTAATAATATTTTGCATACCATTCATACCATATTAAACGAACCTTAGCAAATTACAGGCAATTATTAGAAATTAAAATAAATTAGAATTAAAAGGCTCCATGTCAGCTTCTTAAGCTGCAAGTTCTGCAAGGTAGCGTGAGCTAGTCCTGGGTGGGGTGGGAGGGATGATATCATTGACTCATCATACAGATTGTATTTTAATGTTCAAAATTCTCTATTTCCCATGTTATTAAATTTATATACATGTTCAAATGGTATACTGTACATTTTTTTTGACATATTGACATGCTGCTGCTGAGATTAGAAAGTAGTAGTTTTTTATATAAATAATGTAGGGTAGTTGGAACAGGTTTTTTCAGTCATACTGAAACAAAATAGTTCTCAGTGTGATCAAAGATTATTTTAAATATAAATGTAGCAGTAAAATTGTAACAACTGTGCATATTTTTTTGTATATATGCAAATATATATATTGTGAGGTATCAATATCATAATTATTAATTGGATATCTGTGTACTATAAATCCTATTTTATTTTGTGTAAATTTTTATATTCGTACAATTTATACAGTTGTATTGTTTTTAAATTTATAGCAGTAATCCAACAATAACTGCTTTCAAAATGCCATTAAAAATATTTCCCATCCAATACAGACACAATAATT